GATGAAAATATCTTTAATAAAATTGATTATTTAAAAACTTTCATTATTATTTCGTTTATTTTTTATATTTATTAAACAACCATCGTCATCTCAACGCCACTATTACCATTCATTAGCATCACCACCTTTGCTCTCATCACCACCATCCACCACCATCGCCTACACCTCCCACCACCATCGCCAACACCATTTGTGACGCCCCTAAAACTGGGGGTTATTTTTTAACTGTTGACCATCCGTCAACTAGCGAAAATACTCATGGTTGTCGCACAACTAGGCGACACGTCAATAACATTCCTTTAACCGGGACCATAACCCACATGTGTAACCTGTGTATATTTTATTGTTTAATCGTATCGTGGTCCAAAGTACCACATTTTATACTTATTTTATATCCATTTGTATCATTGGAACCAAAGAATCCATAACCCAAGAGCTAGGCAAAGTAATTTTAAAATTTTCAAAATTTTGGTAAGTATACCGGTATTGCATACCGGTATGGGTTGCCTACTGGAAAGGCTGTACCGATACAGGTAACCAACTGAAAAATCTGTATCAGTACGGGTAACATACTAGAAAAATCTGTACCGGTATGGATAACCTACTGGACTAGTTGCACCGGTACGGTCTGCCTTCAAGACGAGGCTATACCGGCACTGCCAACATCTGTATCGGTACAGTTAACCTACTGGACCACGTCGTACCAGTACTAAGTACCGATACTCTCTGCTCACTTTTGCCTCCATATGTAATAAATGTCATATGAACTAATTTAACCACATATTTTGACATATGTCATGACAAATTATATCAATTGCACATAATTATCATAAATTATCATAAGCATGTTATAATTATCATAAATTTATATCAATTGCACATAATCGCAAGCATGTTATAGAAAACTCATGCCATAACAAACTTAATTCAACATAGACATTTAGCAAAACACCTTCAAGGCAAACAATTCACTTTATCACACAAATTGGTCCACATCATTCACAAGGCACAATGGCAACACATATTAAGTTTCAAGGAATTTCACAGGTAAATTTCCTATACCAAACTTAACTAGGAATTGGTTTAAGCCATTTTCATACCCGTTTCCTTATTTTCATAACCATAGTCAATTGACCTATGTTATTTTACATACTTACCCATTCCATATAACCTTCTAGGTAAGAAATGGACCAGAGTAGGAGGGAATCCTACCTCTCGGAGCGTGAAACGAAAGGGAGAAAGCTTCAAGACACCTCCTTAGCTCTAAAAATCCTTGATTTCACAAAATTTTCTCCTTGGATCTTCGGTGAAATCCTTCGTTCATGGTATATAGACGTAACCCTCATCGCGGTGACCAACTTTAACTCTTGGTCTAAGCGATTCTGACCGACAAAACTCTATAGATCGCAAAGAGAAAGGTAGAAATTTAGTTTTTCTTCTCTTCTCTTTCTCTTCTCCTCTTTCAACGTATGAACTAGCAGACTATGGGGAGAAAAATATCTGAAAAATCAGATATTTAGCCCCTATTTATACTTTTAATTACGCGGTCTACATTGCGCCGCACGTTTCCTACCTCTGGGCCCGTTTTTGTCCTGAACGACTTCATTATGTCCTAGTTTAAGTTCAAATTATTTTTATTTAAACTTTTCTTCAATTATGAGGAAATTTTATAATTTTTATTTTTGGGGACGTTTGTGAGTTCATTTGACCCCTAGTTGTCTCGAAAAACATAAAAAATATAACTATCTCGAAATTTGATGAAAATTGACTAAGCAACTCGATTTCATGATACGAATCCAACAGTGAGATCCGTTTCATCATCTGAATTTTAGAAAAATATGAATTTTAATCCCGCATTATAGTGACAAATTATCATTTTGCCCTTTTTTCAGAAAAAGTTCAAACACATTCTAGAAAGAATTCGGGTAGGAAGAAATTGGACACTGTCTTAGTATTTGGATCATAAATTTTTACTTTGATGTCCTTTTGAGCTAAAATTTTTATAGTAGCTAGACTTCTAGGACTACCAAAGTGTATTTCATGAAAAGTTTCCAAATCGACCTCTAAATAGGCCAAAACTTCACTGAAAGTTTCAGCAGAAACAGGGAGTCCGTTCGAACGCCAACCATTCGAACGTGAAAGTCTATTCGAACGATAATTCATTCTAGTACTCTTGTCTGATGGAAAAACAAAAGTACTAGGAGCAATTAACATTCGAACGCCAATGACGTTCGAATGTGAGTCACGAATCAGAGTATCAGAATTACGTCAGTTTGACTCCTTTCTTATGTTATAAATACATAAGGGTGCCCCCCCTTTAGCATCATTTCAACATTTTCAAACCTAGAAATTCTTAGAGAGGAAGAAAGAAGGAGAAAAATACAAGATCAAGGAGGATTTTCACATTGAAGTACATCAAAAGCTCAAGTTCTTCACACAAAACAAAGGAAGAAGGTAGGAGTTTCTTCCCACTCTTGTTCATTGATGCTAGGGCTTATATATATACATGTTTTGACTCTAAATCTTATATATATATTGGAATCCTTTTTTCTTGATGTACTTGCAAGTCTTACCATGTTTTGAGTGAAGTTATGGCTTGAAAGCTATAAAATTCATGCTCTTGATGTCAAAACCTAGTTTTTTGAGAGAGATGGATTTTTTTTCTTGATAGTCATTTGTTTTTGATTCAAAAACTCTAGTGCTTTATTTGGAACTATAAAATCATATCTTTTGATGATCTCTTGCTTATTTTCTTAAGATGTTATGTTGAAAAAATACCTATGAAATTGGGGGCTTTGATTTACTTGTGATTTGAGAAATTGGTTGATATTGTATCTCTTGTGTGGATGTTTGAATGAACATGGATAACCGTTGATTGGGTATCATAAAGTGGATAGATGCGTTTCTTACTCCGTTCAAGTTTGAAGGTCCCCTACCACTCGTAGTGTGGTTGGTGTCTTGCGAAGACCAAACCAGTATTCGCTTACATGAAATCGAGGCTGAGGGCTAGTATACTATTTATGGGTTGGATTCATCACTGCTAATGCGTCGGTATATGCCCTTCCTAAATTGTATATCCTTGCAAGAATTTGGTTGTGTGTGTGAGGGCCAGGATATTCTCAATGTGTGTATTCATGCAAAATCTTACTTTTCTATCTGAGGTATAGATGCAGTTGGGGATACAAATACAAATATGGGTGAAATGGTTTTTTGTTGGAAATGATTTATTGTGGAAATGGTTTAATGTTGGAATGGTTTACTGTTTGAAATTTGGTTTTACTCTTCATTTAATTTATTTCTATTGCGTTAACTTGAGATTAGATAAATTTTCCCTGTTTCATTTCAAAGTTATATAGATATTTTGGAAAGTGAGATCGAACTGTTTTATATGTTTTTCAAACCTTGTTCGAGTTTGGGAGGATTTTCCTACAGAGCTTAGTGCTCACCCCCTACAAACAATATTTTCAGATTTTGGTCTAGAGGAAGAGCATTAATAGTGCTAGCAAAATGAGTAAACATTTGTGATATGCTCATATAAGGTTCCATCATAAATAGCTCATAGCCATGTACAAGTATATTTATATTGGATTCCTTAACTCGACTAGTTCCCTCATGTGACTTCTAGCATATATCATATTTTCCTAGCGGTTTCACATGTAGATGAATTTACTTATATCAAATGCACAATATAATGTATTCATGGCCTTAGCATTGCTAGCGTGTGCCTTTTTTTTAATCACTAGTCTATTCTTTCTTATCTTTTGTAAGTTTCACATATCCAACTTAAATGATATCCCACAATGCATCATCTAAAGACATGATATATATTTCTATTATAGCTTTTTGATTCATCATATAATTTGCCATTTATTTATCTGTGTATTGTGACGAATTGCACTTATTTTGAATTAAATATGGGTTAATACTTTGATTTTGTGCTATGATAGCATTTTCTGGTCTAAGTGATTTATCAGGTAAAACAAGTGAATTGAGCTGATTTCGAATTGTAATAAATTGCTTGGATGATTTGAAGACAACATGAAAATCAAAGGGAGCAAAGTCCAATTACAATGGTCAAGCTAATGACCAGAAAAAGGACCCTGGCTACATAGCATAGTCTGTCTGAAGGCAATTACTTCATCCGGACGCAGTTGATAAGAAGTCAATTCTAGAGAATTCAAGGTGTTCAAACGTGGTTGTGTGTGCGAATACTCATTTGACAATATGGTACACTTTTGTTCGAACGCACAGGATTGTCTGGACTCTGTAGAGTTTACCAAGTGAATAGTTAGGATTAAGAAGACCTCACTCCAAGCGCAGCTATTTTGTCCAGAGGCACTATTCTTAAGTAGCACCATGCTTATTAACCCTAGGAGGAAATTTTTATTTATTTAGAATTAATTTTGGTATTTTTTTGAGGATTTAGTATAAATAGTGAGGTTTAGCCAGAGAGAGGAAAATCTTTTCGATCAAACAAAAACTCTACATAGAAGTCTTCTCTGCTTATGGTTGATTGTGAGTAAAATTCTTTTGTACTTTCTAGCTAGGGATTTGGTTTTATGAATGTATGCCAATTCTTTTATGAATGCAATCATTAGCTGACTTATGTTTTATAAATTTATTATTCTTCACATATAGATTGAACGAATGATATTAGTAAAGGAGTGTGCTCTATAAAATGATAAAATTATTCCGTAGGTCCATTCCTTGCCAGGAATGATTATATAATTCCCTGCGAGTTCACAAACCTTGTTCCTTGTTGATTATTTTCTATTCAATCAACTTATATCTTTAAAAGTAAAATCTTTTGTTTGACTACATTGACATTGAAAATCAACTGAGAAAATACATGATTGCATGAGTTTCATAGTTGGTGTACATGAATAATTCGTATTTTGATGCTTTTTTTTAAAGAAAAAAATTTTATATCATCAAATCAAAGAATTACAAGAAACAGATGGAATTAAGCCCAAAATGGATTTAATCATTCAAAAAAAAATTTATGAAAAAAAACTTCTAAAAATGATAGCCTTCTTGTTCCTCATGATTGGTAGACTAAGCTGGTCCTGGAGCAGCAGAAGCTTCCCTTCAACTGGCATCCCACTCAGTGTAAACTCACTACATCTCCTTGTCTTGACTGCATAAGAAGCCAACAAATATGCAACACCATTGGATTCCTGAAATATGTGAGAAGTACTAGCATTAATCGACCTTATTAATTCACAAATCCTCCCCAATAGAATACTGCATTTTCATGGCACCTCCACATCTCCCAAGATCATCTTTACCAGAATATGAGAATCAGATTCAATCAACAGTTGAGAACCCTTTAAATCGTGTTGTATCACCATCATTAAACCATAAAAAAAATCCTAATCCTTAGCCTGCATATTTAAGGTTTCCCCATAAAAAACTGAAGCAGTGGCTACTAAATGACCATTCGAATCCCTTAGTACCATACCACCACCAGCAAGACCATTCCTTCCCTTCGATGCACCATCTACATTGAGTTTCAAAAAATTTTTGAAGGGAGGGAACCACTTTACCCAAACAGCTTTAGCAATAACTGAACAAACTAAGCCAACTCTGAGAGCTGCAAGCAGCTCCACTCTTGTCTCATTTTCTGCACTGCTGGGTCTCATTACAAAAGCCTAGTACTTGAGCACACTCAGAATCTGTAAAAAGATTGTATATGAACATAAATCCACCCCTTGAAACCTCCTTCGACACCTCTCTTTCCAAATAAACCAAAAAATCAGCAAGGAAACACCCCCTATAAGACCATTACTCAGAGAATGAGACATAAAATACATTGAAATTGTTAAAAAATCTCAAAATTGGGGTTTCCTAATCAATAATTTCAATTCCCAACACCCCAACTATCCTTTTGTGATGCCCCAAAATCCCCCTTGGACGGTATTACTATTTAAAATAATTCACATCCTGAGAGCAACTAATAAGATCCATAAGTAAAGAAAATTTCATTCATCCTCCATAATATTTGCAACATCATCCAAAAGAATATGCCAAACTATGACAATTTTGCAGCGAAATAAGGAAAATATTAACATGAACATTATCTCAAAATGAATCTCCTAATCTACAACATAAAAAGAACAATTCTAGACATCCCTCTCTGGATCCACATGCCCATCACTTGACCTTCCCAAAGTACCAGCTCGTCCACTCCGAGCTCTTTTTCTAAACCAAAATCTAAAAAGAATGTTGTTTGTAGGGGATGAACACTAAGCTCTGTAGGATATCCTCCCAAACTCGAACAAGGTTTAGAAAATATATAAAATAGGTCGGTCTCATTTCCCAAATATCATATATAACTTTTGAAATAAAACAATGTTGGTTCATCTAATCTCAAGTTTACACAGTAGCAAGAAAGTAAATGAAGAAGTAAAAACCACTTTCCCCACATTAAACCAATACCAACAATAAATCATTACCAATGACAAACCAATACAAATAATGTACTATTAACCACATTATGCCATTACCCACATTGTGTATTTGTATCTCCAATTGTATCCGTATCTCATGTATGATGTATGACATTGCTCAATAAACACATCGAGAATATCCTAACCCACACATACACATCCAATCCTTGCAAGGATACACAACTTTAGGAAGGGCATATACCGATGCATTGGTAATGACGAATCATGTAACTCCCCTCCCCACGCTCTTATATTTATATAACAAGTAATCATTTATTTTCGAAATACTAATATTGTGAAACCCGGGTAAATATGTGGAATCATTTGTAGTAGAACTTGTACCAACTATGTTTGATGTACAAATGTATGTTGTATAAGTTTGGGTTGGTGTTGGAAAGGTTTGGAATGGATTGAAAATGAAAAACAGGTGAAACAAGTAAATCTAGAGAAACAGTACCAGTACTGTGTACCAGTACCATGCTGTCAAGAGAGCTAGAGTACCGGTACTCTTTGTAAAAAAATCAGAAATTTTTAAGCTGTTTCGCCGAGCTTTGGGACTATGCATTCTTTCCATCAAATTGTTATAAATGGACAATAATAGAGTACCAGGATGGTATGTTGGACCTCAAATAGGTCAATCAATTTAAACCTTCATTAATAGCGGTTCGGAGGAATAAAATAGTAATTTTAGTGTTTCGAGTGTAAATTTACTTTAGTATAAATTAAATCATAAACTTAAATATTTTTAGCTTAAATAACATTAAAAATGAATCTGTAACACCTAAAAATCTTAGGGTAGTCATAGAGATCAAATTGGAGATTTTTGGAGAATGTAACGCCCCAAAACTACCCTGGATGACATTACCATTTAAAAACATTCATGTCATGAGAGAAAATAAATCCATCATTAAAGAATATCCTTAATTTAATAAAATTCGTACAGAGTCTCCTTTGTACGGGGAGCTCTACCCAAAACACAACCTGTGTAATTATACTACATTGACCACACCAAGTCCATTTACCCATCAAATAATAAAATTTCATTCACCACATGTAATATCCACAATATCATCCCAAAAGAATAGGCCAAGCTATGACATTTACATTCCAAAAGAATTATACTCAAACTTAGCAGCGGAATAAACAAAATACTAGACTATACATGATTGTAAATAAATTCCCTAGTCTAGCACAAAACAAACTATAACTCTAGATGTCCACCTCAGGATCTAGGTTCCCCTCTGGTGGAACCTCCAATTTCCCAGCTTGTCAACGCCGGGATCTTCCTCTAGTATGAAATTTGAAAAGAAAACATTATTGGTAGGGGGTGAGCACTAAGCTCTGTAGGAATCCTCCCAAAACTCTAACAAGGTTTGGAAAACGTAGAAAATGGTCGGTCTCATTTCACAAATAGCATACGTAAATTTTGAAAGAAAGCTTGACATTTTCAAAGATCTCAAGTTTATACATTAACAATAATTAAGTGGAAGAGTAAGCCAATCCCACCATAAATAACCATTCCAAATTCCCAAAACAATTCCAAGATAATCATACCCAAAAGATAATGCAATAAATAATAACCACAATGTATCTCAAGTCTGATATAAGATAATCGCATGAATAAACACATCGAGAATATCCTGGCCCACACACACACAAATCCTCGCAAGGATATCAAACTTTGGGAAGGGAGCCTACCGATGCATTGTCCCATACCAATGCACCCGCAATAACGAATCCGACCTAGGCATAATATACTAATCCTCTGACATGGCACTCGTGAGCTAATAGTGGTTTGGTCCTCGCAAGGCACCAACCCCACTACGAGTGGTAGGAAAAATTCAAACCCACACGGAGTAAGAATCACACACATCTACCTACTCTACGATACCCGGTCAACGGTTACCCATGGTCATTCAAACACCTCTATAAGATACAATCACCAATAATTTCTCAACAAAAGTTTATAAATTTCAAAACCCCCAAATTCCATAGGTATTTCTCAAATCACATTAAATCTCAAAAATTCCCAATTTCTCCCATATGATTCCAATAGAACAATTTAAGAAAAATATGCAAGAGATCATCAAACATATATTTTTATTATTCAAACAAAGCACTAGAGTTTTGAAATCAAGAATTAAGGAATATCAAGAAGAAAAATCTATTTCTTAAAAGAAACAAGAGTTTTGAGATTTCAAAGATTTCATGGCTATCAAACCTTATCTTCATTCCAAACATGATAATATTTGCAAGAGTATCAAGAAATAATGATTTCATAACATATATATAAGATTTAGAAGCAATATATACATAGATATAAACCCTAACCTCAATGTAGGAGAATGAGAAGAAATTCTTACCTAGAATCAAGAATTTCAAGTGAAAGTCCAAGCCCTATAGACCTCCTTTCTCCTCTCCTTCTTTTGTTTTACCTTCTCTAGGGTTCCAAGAGGTGTGGGGTGAGAGTGGAGTGAAAGAAATGAGGTTAAAGGTGCTGAAATCAGTGTTTTAAATACAACCAACCCCGAGTTTTACTGTTCACAGCCTGTTTTGGATTTCTTCAAATTTCGATTTTGCCACTAAGATCTCCAATTTGATCCATATGATTACTCTAAGGTTTTTCGACGTTCCGGATTCATTTTAATGTTATTTTAACCTAAAAATATTTATTTTTATGATTTATTTCACAACTAAAATAAATTTACACTCAAAACATTAAAATTACTATTTTATTCCTCCCTATTATTTATTCTTACAGTTTCAAATATATATGGTTTATTCTTATGCCATTATATATATAAGAATCACTAAATAAGTATATTAATATATTAATATAAACATGTGAAGGTTTACACCTTCAAAGTCTAAGAAGAAAGCACAACACTTTACTATCCAAGGAACATCATAGAGCATATTTTTTATATCACTTCGGAGAATAAAATGATTTGACTCAGGTAGTTCAAGTATGTGTGACCTATATGGTTGGAAAGATATACGAGTTAGGGTTCTAAACAAAAATAACGGTGCACAATTTGGATTTTCCAACAAAGAGTTATGATCAAATTGGTGAAAGGTAGTTTGCCGGACTACTTGGTTCTTCTATACTTGTTTGGAGCTTAAATATACTTATTATTCTTGTATTTTGATTTAGGATGTAAATGGAGACGTTAAATGCAAAATGAAGCTAATTGGACGATGTTGATTGTTTAGACATGTGGGGGTTTACAATCCACCCCCCTTAAAGAAGTTTAATCCTCGAAACTTACCTCAAGTAGCGAATAAGTGCGGGTACTTCTCTTGTATTTCTAGCTCCGGTTCCCAAGTAGCTTCTTCCACTCCATGGTGTTGCCACAAACCTTCACTAGTCGGATGACTTTGTTGCGGAGCACCTTCTCTTTGGCATCGAGAATCTTCACCGGTTGTTCTTCATAGGTTGCTCCGTCTTGAATTTCAATATCTTCCAAGTCTACGACCGGCTTTGCATCCGATTGACACTTTCTCAACATTGACACGTGGAACACGTCATGTACCCCAGACAACTGAGCTGGAACCGCAACTGATACGCCGCTTTGCCCACAATTTTGATCACTTCAAATGGCCCAGTATATCTTGGCGCTAACTTCCCTTCTTGCTGAATCTAAATACTCATTTCTTGGGTGACACTTTGAGGAAACGTAGTCTCCCACTTTGAATTCCAAGGGTC